TTTCAATGACTTGATGAAGTTTAAATAGTTCTGCATGATTCTTATTAGGATCACAAGTTGATATAAACATTTTAAAAGATGGTCTACATTTTTCTAGTCTTTTCATTTAAAATGATAACGAGCATAAATTGATATAATTGTTATCATTCTATATCAAATGTTGGTTGCATTATTTTTGTAAAACCTTGTCCCAGGAACTTGAGTTAGAGAGAGTCTATAACACTTATCGAGTACCGACGTGGTGTACTCAGCCCTCAAGGCGTCCCATTTACTTTACATATTTTCAGGATGAGACGTGGTACATGATGAACTGATGGGGAAATAGGATGACTCTCTCTTTCTGAAGCATATAACAAGGCACCACTTCTATTTCGTGGTAGCCTTCATGTTGATCTTGCTTACTTTTGGTTGGGTTTGTCCCAAGTGTTTATTTCATCATTGTGTCTTAGAGATTCCATAGACAGTTGTTATTCTTTTGGAGTTGTAATCAAGAGTTATTCATATGTCATGCATGAAAGAAATATTTTTATTCTTTTGTATTTTTCAATTATTGAAATATAATAGATTTAATTCATGTATGGTTTTAGTCATTTAAAATTATTGTGTTTTCAAAAAGGCTTCGCATTTATTTATTTTCATATAGATGGACATTCTTGTACGGTTTGGTTCGCTCGAGTTGGATAGTGTGCCGGGTGACGGTCACGTGGTTTTGGATCGTGACACTCGCAACGCAGGGTTTCGCCCCTTGCTGCAATTCTCACTCACAATCCGATTTCCCTTGTTATTCTATGCTGAGATGTGATCGCTGCTACCACTTTTGCTGTTATTGCTTCTCTTGGCAACATTACTACTGGCTCGAGGCTAGAGGATGGAGCCACTACTGATGTGACAGTTTATGAAAGTTCCTCTACACCCTACTTATTTTATTTGTGTGCATCGGAGACAATATACGATCATAAGTGTGGGGTGAGAGTATGTTATGTTTATGAATATTTTTTTTAATTGCTATTATTTTATTCTTCTTGAGTTTTCTTTACCATGATTCTTTCCCAATGAGCTATTATTTTTTGAATCAGGCATTTTTTGAATATATATATATATATATATATATATATATATATATATATATATATATATATATATATATATAT